GGGGGGGGGGTCTTCATGGTCTTTGGGAGCTTTCATGTGCTGTTTTCTGATTATAAGACAACATATAGACAACATATAGCCGACCTGGTTGAATTACCCCCGTTTTTTATCAGAAAACAGCCAAAGACAACCAAACCCCCAGTTCTATAAGCCTGCTACGGAGGCTAAAAAACAGTATGTTCAATACACATTGTAACGTGGTTTCCAATCAAGATATCCCCAAAGCTAGGCTAACGTTAGATGGAAGATGATTTCATTTGGTCCAGTACTAGCAATAACATTTTGACGTCTAGAATTTACACTTTATCTATCGATATTTTCTATCGATTTTTCAAACATACCTCAAACAATGAATGAGAACTACACACTTCGATGCTAGCGTTATCGATAAATATATCATTGATTGCTGCTAAAGATCTTCAAAATGTACGTTTTCTGTGCTTTTAGCTTCTGTAATGTTATCATGTGTATTGTCTACAGTGTGAATAATAGAGCAGAGTATATAATATACGGAGGAAAACATAATTAACGAAAAGATATTTTCTCAACGGGAAATTGTTGCCGAAGTCAAGACTGAAAAACTGCCAAAGATTATAGAATGAAACTATTGACTCTTTTATTGATGTAACGATGAATATAACAATACAGTTGAAGTGGAAAACTATTTTTGTACGATATAACTAATTCGTATTTTCTGTAATTTCTTTGTACATTTTATTACGTTACAGCTTTCGCCTAAATAAAGAATGATATACGTATTGTAACAACTTAAGAATTTTTGAAAGTTTGTACTGTTGTAAAGTCTATAAAAATATACATCTTCAAATGACTACCCGATATCATTTTCTGTAATGAATTTACTTGTCCCTGTATACTTGCAGGACATACTATCCTCCAACACCAAGGATATCAAATTCATGATCACAGACACCAGCTGATATCATTGTTTCATATTCACTTATCCACATACACGTATAGGAAATATCACCCATCCTCCCAATACCAACAAGCCAAATCAAAATCATCATATCACAAACACACGCACATACTCGTCATATAGTACGCCATATAACATGTCTACAGCACCAAGTTTATGACTTCTTAGGACAGTCATGAGAATATTTTTTATATCGTCCATTTATTCTCCCTGTATAATAATGATAATAACAAACACATAAACAAGTTTATATGAATAAATGACATAGGTGCACAGGTGTGACATGGGCTTTAAATATAGAAGTCGTCATAGCTTAATGTGCACGTGGCACTCCCAGCCCCGAGGACAGACAACACTTAAGCTCCTGTTCTGTATAACAGGAGCTTTCAGTTGCTTGAGTAACTGCTTTTTGGCGTATCGTATTACCTGGATGTCTAACCTTCATCGACATAGCTTATTGTGCTTTAACTTAGACGTGGATAGCATCCTTTTAAAGACATGCTCATGTCATTTCTCATAGTCGTGCGATTTTTCACGACAACCTCGTGGGCTTGTGGAAAAGTCCATACGTAACAACACATGAATACGAAAACACAAAACTCTGCCAATGCAATTGTATGACGACTTTTATATCAAAAGCCCATGTCACGCACTCACCCATTGGAAACTCTCCACTATCCTGACCCTCCCCGTGATAAAATGGTAGACGCCAAGCTCATGTTTGCGTACGGTGTTTTGGAGTTGTAGTTTGCCACACGACACCGGCGTATTGTATACCCGTGACCCTAGAGGGCAACACACAGAAACAATACCTACCCGCGACTTACAGCGAACCTTTCCTCAAGATCTAGCAGACCTCCGCAAGATCTCTAGTCAGAATCATGCCGGTGAAGCTGTACCACAACATTCTGTCGGCGCCATGTCGTGCCGTGATGATGTGCGCCAAGTCCATCGGGCTGGACCTGGAGGAACAGTCGGTGGACCTGTTCAAGGGGGAACAGATGAAGCCGGAGTTTGTCGCCATGAACCCCTGCCACTGCGTCCCTACTATTGACGAGGACGGCTTCATCATGTGGGAGAGGTGAGCTGACATTAGCCTCTACCTTTTGGAAAGAGTTAGCCTCTACCAGGCACCGCGGATCGCTGGAAAAATAGTAGAAATCGGCCGAAATAAAGGAATAATATACCAGGGGAGGTAGCCGGCCAGAGAAGGTCC